TGAGATCCCTAAAACATCCATGTAAATAAAGAGAAATAGTCAGGACTGAACCCAAGGACACTTTAATATTCAGAAGTCAGGAAGATGAGGTAGAACAAAGAAAACTGAGGAGATGGCAAGAGAGCTAGAAGAATCAAGGAAGCTGATGACCTGGAAATCAAATGAAAAGTAGGCCGGGCGCAGTGGCTCACGCCTGTAATCCCAGCACTTTGGGGGGCCGAGGCGGGTGGATCACAAGGTCAAGAGATCGAGACCATACTGGTCAACACGGTGAAACCCCGTCTCTACTAAAAAAAATACAAAAAATTAGCTGGGCATGGTGGTGCGTGCCTGTAATCCCAGCTACTCAGGAGGCTGAGGCAGGAGAATTGCCTGAACCCAGTAGGCAGAGGTTGCGGTGAGCCGAGATCGCACCATTGCACTCCAGCTTGGGTAACAAGAGCGAAACTCCGTCTCAAAAAAAAAAAAAAAGAAAAGAAAAGTAGTACTTCATTTCAGAAACACTGGCAACAGCAAATGTTGCTGAGGATATAGGGAAGCAGGAATTTTCATACACTGCTGGTGGGAGTGTAAACTGGCATGTGCGACCATTTACTAGGTTGTTTATGTATACCTCAGGAGGCATGCAGAAGAATGCTCCTGGCAACATGGTAAGTGGTTGTCAAAAACTACAGAACCTAAATATCCTTCAAAAGTAGAATGAGTAAACTAGTTTATTCATAATGGGTACTATATACCTATTAAAATGAACTATAGCCATGTGCAACAACATAAATTAATCCCAAAGAATGCTGAACAGAAAGAAGCCAGTCACAAAAGATTAAACTTAGTACGCATTTCTAGAAAGTTCCAGGCAAACTCAAATTATTTAGGAAAGCATATACAGGTGGGAAAGTGGTAAAGAAAATCTAGGAAATGATTGTCAGAAAGTCAGAAATGGTACTTCTTGGTACCGGAAGGTAATGAGAACGATAAATGATGGCTTCTGAGGCACTGATAATGTTCTATTTCTTAAACATGGCACTGATTTTATGGGTTTGTAAAAAATATTATTTTTTAAACTGTGTATTTTTCTATATATGTTCTATATCTCATTATAAAATAAATATAGGAGAGAAAAGCGTTCCTCTGTGTCAAATGTTGCTGAAAAGCTGGCTAAGATGAGGATTGAAAACTGACCAGTGAATGCAGTAATGTGAAGGTCACAAGAGATACCTCAGGCAACTGGTGAGGAAGAACACCTGATTAGAACAGGTTCAATGAGAATTAAAAGTAAGGAAATGGAGAAAAGATAAAAAGGCTGCTCTTTCCCAAAGTACTCCTTATATAAAGCGGAGTAGAGAAATATAACTGTTGCAGGACCTCCAAAATCAAGGGAGAGTTTGCTTTGGCTCTTTCAGATGAGAGATACTACAGCAGGTTTTTATGTTGATGAAAAGCATTCAGTAGATAGGGAGGAACTGACGCTGGTGAGAGAAGAGATAATTGCTAGACTAATGTCCACTGGTAGGCAAGAGGGGATATGCTACAGTGGGTAAGTAAAAGGTCAGTCTTAAGAGGCGAGGCAGTTTCTACATAGGCAAGGGAGGGAAAAGCAAAGAATAGGAGTTGTTGCAGTGGGGCTTGGAGACAGTGATGAGTACATGTAGAAATTATCTAATTAATAATTATCTGAGAAAATAGAAGCAAACAAGCTCATCAGGTGAGTAAACAGAGAATGAAGTGTGAAATGTGAGAAAATGTAAAACAGTTATACAGGAAAACTGGAGAAGTCTCAAACTTACAGGATCACCAGGCAACACAAATAGTCCCCATTATATTAGTGTCATAGACTTAAAGGAAGAATGCTCAAGATGGCTGTGCTTTTTTTGTTTTCTCCAGCCATGTTCAGCAATCCAGTACAGACACAGAGAAGGTAGAGAGACAGATTTCAACTAGATAGAATTTTGCCAGAAACAGAGAATCAAGGAAGTGAAGGTATATGTTAGGGAGTAATAATCAAGGATCACGAGAGCAAAAGAAGCAAAGAAGGGTATTACATAATGATAAAAGGATCAATGCAACAAGAAGAGCTAAAGATCCTAAATATATACGCACCCAATACAGGAATACCCAGATATATAAGACTTATAAAGAGACTTAGACTCCTACACAATAATAGTGGGAGACTTCAACATCAATATTAGATCAATGAGACAGAAAATTAACAACGATATCCAGGATTTGAACTCAGATCTGGAACAAGTAAACTTAATTAACATTTATAGAACTCTCCACTTTAAATACACAAAATATACACTCTTATCAGTACCACATCACATCTATTTACAGGTTTAAATGAAATATTGGTTGGCTGCTTGTTTTTTATTTTCTTCTCTCACTTTTTTTTTCATGTCTCTATTATTAAGCACAATTATAGGCATACCCATTTTTAGACTGCATTCTAGCCCGGGCAATAAAGCAACACCCCCGTTCTCTCTCCCTCTTCCTCTTTCTCTTTCTTCCTCTCCTTCATTCTTTTTTTTAAAATTATTCTTTTTTCTTTCTTTCTTTCTTTTTTTTTCCGAATTAAAAAAAAAGGATCATGTAGTACGAGCAGGGTAATGACAGAAGAGAGAACATGGGGAGGATGAAGGACTACGCAAAGGTATTGGAATCAATCAAGAATTGAAATAAGGGTAGGAGACTGAGTAATCATAAGAGATTGAAGAGTGGGATTCTTGAAAACACGATTATGAAAATAATACAGGTTCAGTTACTGATGAAGACAAGAACTAGGCTATGTACATAGAATGAGTAATTAAGGTAAGGCGAAAGATAAAATATTTGTGAGAGAGGAAGTCACAGAACTGAGACACTGGAGTATTGAAAGAAATCATCTGAGATGCATACGGAAATCACCAAGAATAGCAGGAATAAAGAACAGGAAGCTAGATGCTAAAAGCATGAAAGTATTAGAAAGATCATTGTATAGCCAAAACACAAAAAATGGTAAAGTGACTTGTTCAGGTCATGTAGCTAGTAACTGACAGAACTAGAAAAGAAACATTGGCAGTCTGGTTCTATTTATGCTATCAACTGAAAAACCAGCAGTCCCAAACTTTGAGAAAGATCTTTAAATTTAAAAAAAAAACCTAAGTCACATAACAGTAAACATACTTTTACTATCTAGTGAAGGTGAAAATATAAAACCAAAAGAGTGATTATGAATTTGGTGACTGAAATGAAATTTTCTGACACTAATCAAGAATATATATAAAATTTTTATTAAATCGTTCAATTCATAGACATAATGCTTGATGTCACATGGATATATAAATCCCTTTCAATAATTTCTTCACCACTGAGTAAGCACTGCTGAAAGAAAATGGCCTTCATTCCTCAAGTTATATTGAGCATTGGTTTATAATAATCATACAGTAGAATCTGGAGGATTCTTTCCCCTGAGGAATTTACAGTGTGAGGCAATGATTCTCAAACTTTTTAGCTGAGGAGTCCTTTACACTCTTAAAAATTACTGAGCACCCAAAGACTTATGCTTTGTGGGTAATATCTGTCAATATTGAGCATATTAAAAATAAAACAAAAAAATATAAACACAAGAATATAGAAAAAATTCCATTAGCCATCAGACCAATGATCTCATCACATGTCACATGTAGCCTCTGCAAAACTATACACTTAGGAAAGAAAGAGTGAAAAAGACAAACAAACCAAAAAAAAAACCTTAATATTATTGTTACTACTAAACAGTTTGACTTTGTAGACTCTCTGAAAGTCTTCGTCTAAACAAACAGATTGGGCAACTGCACTATTTTTGTGATATACTAGAGTAATTTCAGTTGTTAAGAGGTAGGCTGCATTCCAGGTAAAGAACATCTGGTATTAAATATTCCACTTGCTAGTTTAACAGGAGAGAAAGAGGGGGAAATAAGATATTTTTGGAGGCCTAAAAAAAAACAGTAAGTAGATTCACATTTGATTCCAGGCACCAAGTCAGGCATTTTAACCTGACAAGAGTCAATAAAATAAGAAAAAGGGTAATATCCCTAGTAAGAGAGATGAGTGAATTGCTTAAGGCCCAAAACTAGGAAGTGGTGAATCTATGATTGGAACCCAGGCCATATTGACCCCAAAACCTACGTTCTTTCCACAGAAACTCTGAATTCAACAGACTAATACAAATGGAGATGATCCTGAATTTTCCCATACGCTTTTCTTCTCCTCTGTATTTTTGTTCTTTCTTTCTCGGTTAGATAACATTTCCAAGCATGAGAAAGATCATCAAATTGATTAGTGATAGTGATAATGTCTCCTCCTAGCTTATGGTTGATTTCTTCTCCTTAGACCAGGAGTTCTCAAAGTATAGTCCCTAAATCTATGCAATAATGAAATCTGGCCAACATAGCCAAATGAATTAGTCACTAATAAGAAAACATGATTATGTTACATCAGCTGATGTTACCTGATGGGAACAAAGGAGAAGAAAGTCAGTGTATTAGTCTGTTCTAGCTACTGTATTAGTTCATTCTCACGCTACTAATAAAGACATACCTGAGACTGGGTAACTTATAAAGGAAAGAGGTTTAATAGACTCACAGTTCCACATGGCTCTCAGGAAACTTACAATCATGGCAGAAGGGGAAGCAAACACATCCTTCTTCACATGGTGGCAGAAGTGTGGAGCAAAGTTGGGGGAAAGCCTCTTATAAAACCATCAGATCCTGTGAGAACTCACTCACTAACACGAGAACAGCATGGAGGTAACTGCCTCCATGATTCAATTACCTTCCACTGGGTCAGTCCCACAACATGTGGGGATTATAGGAACTAAATTCAACATGACATTTGGGTGGGAACACTGCCAACCTGTATCACGGCTTATACATGACTTGGATACACAATTATTACGTTCCCTAAGTTGTAACAAGAGATCCACCCCACGACCATCTACATCAGTGCCAACCCCCAACCCTAGTAAAAAAAACTTCCACGCTCACCTTCTTTATCAGTAACTGACCAGGAATACTTCTGAAAAGGCTTACTAGATGGAAGGGGGTCCATCTCCAGCACTTTATAAATCTGGCCAAAGGCTGATAGTCTGAGTGCATGCTAAAGGACAAAGCATTATATTTAATCACATTTCAATAGCCATTCATAAAGCCCTTAATATATCTAACTAAAAAGATACTCATAAATTTTGGCATTATAACAGCAGAAGTCCCTAACAACACACAAGAAAAAAGTGTTCGAACACAATAATTGAGAAAACCAGGTTACATTCTCTTGCTAGTAAGTCAGAGTAATATGTTCAATCTTCTACCTGTGCACTGTGGGTAATATCTTCTTTTTGCTGGATGGTCATATAGCTCAGAGCATCTGTTGGGTCTCTCTCACAAGGATCATGAAGACCAGGACCTCCTTTGGCAAAGGAAAAACACAAGTATCATTTAGAACTGAGTTTAGAATTCGGTAAACTAAAACAAAAAGAGATGGTTGGGGAGAATGAAAAGAAAATAAAAAATAACTGAGGAACTAAGTTAAAAGTCTGCTCAGCTAAGTGGAGTAAAAAGGACACCCTCTTATTTTCAACATGTTAGCACTTATACATCCTTATTTTATACTAGAAGTCACTTGTATATCTAAGGCCAAAACTGAGTCTTACTCTGAGAATTTAGAAACAGCACAATGAATCAGCCCAAATCTTAAAAGGGATTACATATGGAAAATAAAACCAAATTTAATTTTTCCAAATTTAAAACCAGACTACAAACAAAATGAACTTTAAAAATTTTAACTAAACACCTGTAATTTCAAATTCAGAGATCGAGGTAAAGCAAATTCAAAGCAGACACAATATATTATTAGTACCCTTTATGTTAGTACATATAAAACACAAATTATAACTATTGAAAAAGAGTTTTATAGCACTTTTCCAACACACATTCTAGTTGTCAAAATTCCAAGCAAAAGAATTCCTATGCATCATTCTCCTGTGTAGAGGACAAACTTAGCATGTTATTTAGAAAAATAAACTAAAATGAGAGTTGCTGATCGTTCTGCTTCCAGAGTTTGAAACCCTTACCAGGAAGTAGTATTCCAGATGCCAAACACTCCATTACTCGTCTCAAGGCCTCCCCAGCGCCCAAAGGTCTATTACAAGTACCTATAGACTTTTCACATATAAGTTCTAGTGGCTAGAAGATATTAAATTACAAATTAGTACATGCACCAAGTGTTAAAAGGATTCCAGTTAAATGTGAGCTAACATTTCTATCTACAAGGGAGGCCAAAAAGTGAAACTCAATTTAACATTTAGGGCCCACTTAACATTTTCCCCATGATTATCAACGTTTACCCTGGGCGGAGTTTTTAAATCAAGCATTTAAGATAGTATTTTCAGAAAACATTTTTATAACAAAAACTTTATATTTATTTACCCAAAAAGGATCACTAAAGAAACTATGGTATCTAATTCATTTAACAAAGATTTAATAAGCCTTCACATAAGTTAGTAACAGCTAATAACTAACCAGTGTACAAAACCCAGCTCACCTATCTCCCACTTAGGAAGCACACAAACCACAAATATTTCAATAATAAGACTTCATTTCAGACAGCCTGCTTCTAAAGTATGACAGTTAGAATAAACAAAGGACCAAATCTCCATGTTCAATAAACTAAGAACTCACAATATTTTGTCAAAGTAATAATTGCTACATTCATTTATAATATCACCTTTCATGGCTTTATTTAGATTGTTTTATAATGTCCTTAAGGTGTCTTGATTGGAGCAGGTATAAAAATTTCCAAGTCAATTTTCTCACACACACACACACACACACACACACACACACACACACACACGCAATAAATGATATCCATACGGGGTTAAGTGTACTGCTTGCCTGACTTTAATTATTAACATGAACTTATTTGTAAATGTCTCCACTCAAAGAGAAAGCTACAGAGGTATAGGATCCTTATACTGGCCTACTGGGTAATTTTCACTGTAATGCAAGGGGGCACCTAAAGAGAAATGGGTCAGCCAAGGAGGCTTTTGCGAACAGCAGGTGAGCAGTAAGTGATTAACCACCAGTATACAGTCAAGTGTAAGGAGACACACACTTCTAAAAGGTATAAAACCTTTTTGTCGAAAAAAAAAAAAGTTTCACGCTCTGTAACATGAATACGATCAGGTAGAAGATACAGCTTATATGCACAAAAGAAGAATTCATTTAAAAAGATGCTTTAGTTTTTTGCATGGCAAACATACGTAACACATGCCTTAGCTAACTTAGGAGATAGCCATTTTAAAGTAAATCTCATTTCTACAGGATTTTCTCTGCTGCACCTTCCAAATTTGCTTTTAGCCATATTTAAGTACTTACCCATCCTTTCAATGGTGCCCATGTGGGGACTCTGTTGCACAAATCACGCAGAATGCGGAGGACAATTACACATGATTTTAATCCATTTGCCCTTGCCTAAAACAAACAAAATGATTCCAGATATCCCTATTGAGATCTATTATTCATTTTGGGCAGGTTCTTTCAAGTGAATACGAAGTAGCAAATTATTCATCAGTTATCAAGCAAACAGCAACAATAAAAAAAGATCAAGTAATCAAAAGTAGTAAAATTAAGGTTTAAAAAGGCAGATTAAAAAAAAAAAAAAGACAGATTTTTAAAACAAAAGGACCATAATCTTAAAATTGGTTTCATAGTCTCATGGCAACCCCACTTCAGGCAACTACCTAATTTAACTCTTAGTTTTTCTCATTCATGTTTGATTTTTATAAGCAACCCATCTGAAATTCAGAATCATAAGCTAAAAAGAATTCTATGATAATAAAACATCATGAACTATAGTAGAAGCTATACCACGCACTTATCTAAATTAACTAAGTTATTCCAACAACCAAGGTATGAGCCAGAAAGCATCCCTCATTTTATGTAGTACACGGAAACCAGTAAGTGACAGGTGTTCCAAATGAAACTTGCACAAGGATATAATAACAATAAGATAGTAACAAAAAGCCAACCTGAAACCATTTGGCATGTCGAAGAGACGCCAAGGCGTTCAGGCATTTCTGCCTGTCCAATAAGTCCGGAGGATCTTTCATCGAAACATTTTCTAATGGTAAAATGGGATAAAGAGAGACAGATTAAATTTGACCAAGGGATTCCTATCAAATTATCAAACAGTAAAAAATAAAAAGAGTAACAACATTTGAGTGAACTAATAAGACTCCCAGAAAATTTCCTGATTTGGCTGTGTTGCTTTTTTAAAAAAAATTATGTGCACTATGATTATTATTGTCATCAGAGTAGTTCTGCACACAAATACAATGAAGCATAAAAAAATCATTCAGTAAACAAATCATTGACAGCTGCCACTTACAATCTGGGATCTTATTAAGCATGTATAATATCACAGGGCACAAAATAAGTACATAGCACTTTTTCCTTTGGCAAGATGCAAAGAAGGGAAATCTGGGACCAATAGCAATGACAACGTTTTTAACAGAAGAAATTTTGATCTCTGACTGGGAGATTCCAGGAAAACTGGAAATCTCTTATCTCTTATGTAATCAATGAGATATACTGAGAATATACTGAGGATGACCATTTTTTTTTTAACACTATAAACTCATTCAATAAAGATAACGATTAATGGAAACTTTATCCCATGATTGAAAATTTAAGTATCATTTTAGAATTCCCTATTCCAAACCAAAATTATTAAAACTAAAAACATAAAGTACAGTGAACTATATTTCAAGTTTTATATGCCTTTTTAAAATAAAAAGCAAACAAAGAATACTTATTATGGCTATTCAGCTTGCCTTAACAGTAATATAACACAGCCCACAAACACTTCTTCCCAGCATTATCATGATAATAACAGATTAGATTATGTTTGTCCATTTGTGTGGGCCAAATAATACAATGTATATATTTCTAAATGGGTGACAAGAGCACTGATACTTTTTGATTTCTTCAGTTATCAGAGGATCCTATTACAGCAATCAATGTTTATTCTTTTTTTTTTTTCGTTTTATGAGACAGGTTCTTCCACTGTCACCCAGGCTGGGGTGCACTGGCACAATCTCACTGTAACCTCCTCCTCAGGCTCAAGCAATCCTCCCACCTCAGCCTCCTGAGCAGCTGGGACTACAGGCATGTGCCCCCATGACCAGCTAATTTTTTTTTTATAGATATGGTATCTTAATATGTTACCCCAGGCTGGTCTCAAACTCCTGGACTCAAGCAATCTACCTGCCTTGGCCTCCCAAAGTGCTGGGACTACAGACGTGAGCCACTATGCCCAGCCAATATTTATTCTAACTGATGAAATGTAATTAACTAAATAAAGCATAATGCCAATAGAAAACACATTTACTAAAGGAAGAACTGTGGTTCTCTTTACTGGCCATGACACTGTAAAGGTTGAAGTGCTACACACTTATTTTCTGACCAGGTGAGCTCTACAGCAGTTATTTGCATTGTAACAAAATCAGAATACAATGTTTCATTACTCCCTTTTACCCATAAAATGGGAAGCCTCAAAAAGGATTATTACTCTGGATTTGTTTATAAACAAATGTACTATGGGTATTTATTTCATAGGTGATAAAGCTCCTGGACTCGCCCAATTTTGTCTTTATAGTGATCCAAGATAGACAAGTAGCTCACTTTAATGTTTTTATGTCAAAATGCTTAACTGTGGGCAATACAAGCATCTGTGTAAAGCTCACATATCAGATAAAACAAAGTACTGTAAATGAATGTTTAGAATCTCTTAAGAGTTAGACATGACAAAGGTTGACTGACTGCTGAATAATGTAATCCCAATAAACAGTATGGACCATATTTTTTTAAATGTCAATTTTTAAATGAATACAATGGCAAGCTAAATTTTATTTTATCATCTTACCAAGCAGGAATGTCAGGAAGAGGGAGACAATGGAAGAGGGAAGTGAGGCAGAGGATAGGAAAAGGCAAGGCAAGCCAAAATTCTTCTTGTATTTTCTAATACTTTCATCCAGGGATCAGAGCTTATAATTAGCATCTTACTCTGATTATAACACATTTATTTTTAATGGGAGACAATGGCAAAAAATATTTTGATAAATTATGTCATCCCAAAGTCAAGTTATAACCACAAGCTCTTATTTTAGAAAACTGCAACACTGGCTTGCTACAGACAGTCAACATTTGAAGACAATAGATTCTACGAAAAAGAGATGAAAGGGACAGGCACTGAACAGAAGACCTGCACCAGATTCCCTTTTTCATCATCACCAGAATGACCATGTTTCATCATGCTCTGATAGTCAGAAAGTCAAAAGATCCAAAATGGTTTCAGTATCAGGACATAGGAAACAGTAGAGGAGACACAATTCATCTCATTTTATCTTTTTCCAAGTTCTTAATATTAAAATAACATAAATTCATACAGTAATACAGTGCTATTTATAAGCACAGATTATCTATTTCCTTTGTATAATTAATAACATAAAGTTTTTTTATATATATTTTCATTCCTTTAAAAAAACTTCATTTAACGTGACAATTGCAAAGCTGCTGCTGGGAAAACACTGTTACTCCTGGTAGCAGAATCTTAAGTTTAATATTTCTGAACTTTTATGTAGGCGTTTGAATTTTGAGAATCAAAACTTTTCTGATAACACGTCTTGGAGTTCTCAATTAGCAGCAACAGAACTGTCAGTCATCTCATTTTCTCCGACAGTGACCAGTGAAACAGGTAAGAAAAAGCAGGGGAGGCAGGGGTTGGAGGGTGACAAAAATGCCAAAAGCAAAGAAATATAGCTTTTTTGTTGTTGTTGAGACAATCTCACTCTGTTGCTCAGGCTGGAGAGCAGTGGCATGATCTCGGCTCACTGCAACCTCCACATCCTGGTTCAAGCGATTCTCCTTCCTCAGGCTCCTGAGTAGCTGGGACTACAGGTGCCCACCACCATGCCTGGCTAATTTTTTGTATTTTTAGTAGAGATGGAGTTTCACCATGTTGGCCAGACTGGTCTCAAACTCTATACCTCAGGTGATCTGCCCGCCTTGGCTTCCCAAAGTGCTGCAATTACAGGCATAAGCCACTGAGCCTGGCCAGGAATACAGCTTTTAAGAAAATGTATTATTCAGTAACCTAGCATCAGGGAATGAACATTCTGGCAATGGAAGCACTGGAAAGTCTATTATGCCTAACCATGCTCATTTGGTTAGAGGTCAAATCAGTGACCAGAGTCACATCACACTGCAGGAAACGCTGGCCAGTTTCTCTCAAAGCCTTACATGCAAGCTAACTATCTACCCCTGTTAACAAAACACTAGCCTGGAGATGAGAACAGCAAAAAAAACAAAACATGATGGCATTAAACAGGAGTTATACGTCTGGAACCTGGGCTCTTCAAAATTAAATAATTGAGCTCAGTATCATGAGGGGGTTCCTTGACAATCAAGATTAAACTGAGCGACTAAGTCTGTGCTGACAGAATTTTCTAATTAGCCTAAGAATATCCTGGTAGCCCCTTGTCTCTCAATTCCTTGAAACTTTCTGGAGAGAAGACATGTCCCAAGCAAAAAACATGGGCACATAATAATATAAACAGGTAGGCTGGGCCCAGTGGCTCACAACTGTAATCCCAGCACTTTGGGAGCCTGAGGTGGGTGGATCACGAGGTCAGAAGTTCAAGATCAGCCTGGCCAAGATGGTGAAACCCCGCCTCTACTAAAAATACAAAAATCAGCCAGGCATGGTGGCAAGAGCCTGTAATTCCAGCTACTCAGGAGGCTGGGGCAGGGAACTGCTTGAACTCAACAGGTGAAGGTTGCAGTGAGCCAAGATCATGCCACTGCACTCCAGCCTGGACGACAGAATGAGACTCCATCTCAAAAAAAATACACACACACACACACACACACACACACACACACACACACACACACAGAGGTAAATGTAGCAATAAGGTAGAACAGAGAAAGAACTGTTCTCCTAATTTTAATGTCACTTGGTATGACTTTTCTTCAGTGACAGTCAGCCACTGGAAAGAGTGCCTAAAAGTTTGCCCTGGATTGGCAGGGCGCAGTAGCTCATGACTGTTAATCCCAGAACTTTGGGAGGCCAAGGCGGGAGGATCACAAGATCAAGAGATCAAGACCATCCTGGCCAACACAGTGAAACCCCATGTCTACTAAAAATATAAAAATTAGTTGGGCGTGGTAGTGTGCACCTTGTAGTCCAGCTACTCAGGAGGCTGAGGCAGGTAAATCGCTTGAACCCAGGAGGCAGAGGTTGCAGTGAGCCGAGATTGTGCCACTGCACTCCAGCCTGGCAAGAGAATGAGACTCCATCTTAAAAAATAATAATAAGTTTGTCCTGAATAATGAAGATCCAGAAGCCAGTGAAGGCAGGAAAATAAAGCCTCCTGCATCATTATAATCACAGCTGTGATGGCTATCCTGTAAAGCCTACTGCCTTGACCCTAGCAAGATATATGCTAGTAAATTTCTGCCAAGAAGAGAGAGTTAACACTGGCACCAATATGAAGGAACTCTGAGGCAACTCCTCTGTGAAGCCCTGAAAATCCACCCCATTACTGAGGAGAGAGGCTTATCTTAAGTCTAAGCCACAGGGTCTCTGTAGTTTCCTTATCCACCTGGTTTCAAACTGCATTATAAATAAGCAGATAATTTATCATCCACTTTAATAGCAAATATATTTCTAATTTAAAATCACAAGCACCAAAAGAAACTGAGACTCTATGTGAAGCTCAGAATGACTAGATCAGCTTAACCACTTAGGCAGTAATCCTAGACAATAATGGGAAAGTAGACCACATACTAGAGGTAGAGTCAGGGGAGCTGAATAAAATGTGAGATTTTCCTCATTTATAAAACAGAGCAATTAGCTACCCCATAGGACCATGTGAGGGCTTTTAAAATAAATCATGTATGAGGAAGTGCTTATCACATGGTTATAAATATATCTTAACAGAGATTAATCTCCAATATATATTTCTTGAGCTATGAGATGCCCATTAATGCTTCTTACACACTGGAGAGTCCTATTTAATCAGACAATATGATGACTCCGTTAATTCACTTAACAGATTTATAGGACTTTTTAAAAAAATCATCTACTATGTATTAGGTACCCTTAGAGGTGCTAAGGATAAAGAACAGGCAAAAAGACACCTGCCCTCAATGAATCATAAGCTATACAATATACCAGGTTTTTATTATTAGCACTGTATAAATTTGATTATAATATTACAAATGACTCAGTGATTAAGAGTTTAACTGTGCTTGAGTTGACTTCTTTGGACCTACCATGTGCACATTATTTTCACTGTTAAGAGTTTGAGTAGATGGGTTTGTGCTGTCAATCTTCAATAAGTTGACTACTACTATTTACTGAGCAACTACTATGTGCCAGTTATTGTACAAGTCACATTAGATAAATTCTCTCAACCTCAAAACAACTTTCTAAGGTTTTTATAATCTACAATTTAAAATGAGGAAACCTACCCAAGGTCACACAGCAATAGCAACTAATGGAGTTATGAGTCAAGCAAGGCTAGGCTCAGCGGCTCACGCCGGTAATCCCAGCAATTTGGGAGGCCAAGGCAGGAAAACTGCCTGAGCTCAAGAGTCTGAGACCAGCCTGGGCAACATGCAAAACCTCGTCTCTACTAAAATACAAAAAATTAGCAAGGCATGGTGTCATGTGCCTATAGGCCCAGCTGCTCAAAAAGCTAAGGCATGAGAATCACTTGAACCCAGGAGGCGGAGGTTACAGTGAGCTGAGATCACACCAGTACACTCCAGCCTGGGCAACAAAGCGAGACTGTCTGAAAAAAAGAAAAAAAAAAAAAAAAAGCCAAACAAAAGACTGCTGCACACCAAGATCTGTGCTTTTTCTCCTATGCCTTCATTAGCAGGAAACATGTAGTAATGAGGAAATGATTATTCTACAGGGCCTTCATGTAAAGGGTTAGAATGCAGAAAGAAGACTGACAGCATAGGAAGAAACTTACCTATGAAACATTATGTAATACCAAAGAGATTCACTCTGTATTACAGCAATTTAAAATGTAAACCGTGATTTGAAATGAGTAGGTAGTTAGATCCATTCTGCACAATCCTGAGGAAAAAGGTTTCATGCCCCAGTCCTCTGGTTCTGTCTGCTCCCAACCATGCTTTTGTTTTCTTTTTTAGATTTTACCCAAATATGTGGCAAGTTAAGAGAGAGAAAAGAAAGATGTGAGGTGTGTATGTATTGTGAACAGTTTGTTTGGGTAGGGGTAGGTGAAAGAAAGTTAAGATACTACAGGAAAATGTCTCCAAGAAAAAAGTTACGATGGATTTTTTTTTAACTTTGATGAAAAAATGAGTATAAATTAAGAGAAAAAAAAGGATAACTTTCAACCCCAGAAATTCCTGGAACCTGAATGAATCTTGTGCTTTTAACCCATGCAGTTGAAAAGAATTGCATTAAGAGGATGAGCAGCTGTCTAGTGTGAGAAAACAGAATGGTATAGCCCAGGTCTGAAATGCTCAATTATATACTAGATCCTCCAAGTTGCCCAGGAATGTGCAAGCCAGTAGCAAAGATCAAAAATTATCTTTGACAAAACCCAGGTTAGACAAAATGAGCAAATTAGAAAAGATATCAAATGCGTCAACAGGACTGGAATGTTAAGGACAACAGCAAAGCAAATCTTTCTGCCATTCAAAAGAAAAGGAAGTAAAATGTGAAAAACATTAGATCAAAGCCGATTCCTTCACCTTACCTGATCCCATGTAATTGCTGACGAGACTCAGCTCATAGAGGTTTTTCGATCCTTTAGCAACTCAAACACCTTGAACAGAGACTATGACTCTCTTACTTTATTACAAAATCTATTCTATAATAGTGTTCCAGCAAGGGTACAATATACTAAGAATGTTTTCAGCTTCTCTAAACAGAAGTTATAAAGGCAACAGACTAAGTTTAAAGGTATCACTGAAAGCTGTAACAAAATCTCACACAAGTACACCAAACCACAGGGATAAAGAATACTGATGTTCCCTTAATACTTTCAAAAACGAAATTAAAGATATAAGCAAACATGTAATTAACCTAGGCTTTGGCAACTTCAGTCTTTTTCTCATCTCACTAAACTCTCATAATTTTTAACAATACCTATAATTACAACACGACTTAGAAATGGTTGGTTTTATACTAGAGGGTCAAGAAGAACACATCTTACCAGAATTAACATTTATCTTGACACTTCAGAAATCATTTTATAGTTCTACAGTTAATGGTGAACTGTAAAGCTGTTAAAAAAATTAAGCCATTTAAGATTGGTTCTTCAGAGGTGCTATAGATACTACATTACAGCAAAAAAAAATTTAATGTATAGGCCTAAATTCAATTATAGACTGGATGCCCTTTGATTTTAAAATATGACTCATAAATACGTCTGGTTTGTATCTGCTGGATTATGATATAGCTGATTTTAGTTATCCCAAAAACATTTTTTTTAAAAAGAGTCTAGCACCTTTATGTCATCCTATGAGTCATGTCTCTCAAAAATTAAAATTCCAACTTCACTGGTACCTTTTTCTCTACCCTTACCACTAAGTTAAAATAAATTAAGAAACTGACCAATATTTCTTGCAGCACAGGTATTTCAGATAAGGGAGTAAGCAATGGGACTTGTTGAAAGTCTAGTGATGAAAAATAGCAACAGGGAGTCTCCACTGGCCCAGAGAGGCTGTAAATTGTCATGACAGAGTGGCCAGTTGGTCAAAGGTTTGACACAGGAGAAATATCACCTGGCAAGTTTCAAGGGAACGAGAGGCAGAAACAAGCTAACTTGACAGGATAAGAACATCAGAAAAAGCAGCCCACCACAACTCCATCATGAACTTCTCAAAACTACTAATAACTGAATAGATTTCTCACTCTACTTTTATGAGGATGACATTGCCAAAGAGCAACTCTTCTTAACTTCAGAAGAAAATTTAAAGCATGATTCTCACATAAATCATATTCAAAATGTTAAGAGGGTCACAAACCCCCTAGAAAAAAATTTACTGAACATTATCCATTAAAAAAATTCAATCTTCCAATTTACATCCCTTACACTATAAAACAAATCTAGACACAGATGAGTACAAATCTTACCAGATAATATAGCTATTAGAAGTCAAGAGCAATATGATGCAAGTAATTTTTTTTTTTTTTTTGAGGCAGAGTTTTGTTCTGTCTCCCAGGCTGGAGTGCAGCTCACTGCAACCTCCACTTCCTGGGTTCAAGCAATTCTCGTGTCTCAGCCTCCCAAGTAGATGGGATTAGAGGCATTCACCACTATGCCTGGCTAATTTTTTTGTGTTTCCAGTAGAGACAGGGTTTCGCCAAGCTGGTCAGGTTGGTCTCAAACTCCTGGCCTCCAGCAACCCACCCACCTCGGCCTCCCAAAGTGCTGGGATTACAGACATGAGCCACCGTGCCCAGCCAGGATGCAAGTAATTTTGGAACAATGAGCAAATTTGAAAACAATTCTGTTTTGGACCATGTTTAACCCTGAAATCTGACCATTAAGCCAAAATACACAGAATTAAGTTGGCTGATACCAATAACTTAATGCAATACTAGACAAAGTAAAACAGAATACTAAATGACATAACAAAGCAGAGTTAAAATCAACATGACAAGCACAGGTTTTTGAATTAACATTTTATATTTTGAATTCATACATTTTTGCAAAATATACCAATTATGTAGAAACAAAACCATTTAAAATACTATTAAAGAGTGGCATAAAGCAAATGAAGGTTATTTCCTAAATCCATAAAACACTGTTAACATAGCTTTTATATAAAGAAAACAAATAACAACAAATATATACATATATATGCATGTGTACCTCCATCCTTCTTCTCCAATTCGTCCCTAATTAGAGGTGAGGTAAGTATCACCTTCAAAGTTAGAGTGGGCTCTTTTGTATTCCGAATTATAATAGATGCCTCATTTACACATTGTTCCACTTGATATTTCTCTTCTGTGAGTTTCTGAAAGTCACCAAGATTTCAAAATCACCCAGTTAGTTAGACTGAAACCTCGAAAGAAAAAAAAAAAGAATGCTTGTACTAAGTTCTCAAATGTTACTATTAATATTACTGTGCTCAAAAGGCAAAGAAAGCCTCTAACTAGTTCTTTATTGGGGATAACACTTTTCTCTCCTCCCAACTTACAAGAAGATCCTTTCTCCATTCTTCAAAAAGCAACTACAGTGTCAACCATCCATACAATTATGAAACAATATTTAAAACCATTCTAATATTTAAAAGTAAAATGCCAACAGCATCAGTATGTGATAAATGGTAAATTATTGTTCTTAAAATTATTACAGAGAACTATTATGGTATAGAATAATAAATGGCTGGGACTGCTCTCCAAAACTGTATCTCTTTTAATAGAATAGCCTAAACAGGAACTCCTACTTGCCAAAACCTTACAAATATAAGATTATGTAGCTTTTTAAAGATCAACAAATAAGTAGGAGTGAAAAAGTATCTCTGCACAGTCACTCACCAGTAGGAAACAATGAGTATAAACAAGTAACTTCCTCCCTTCTCTGACAACAGGTCTCAGAGATCTTCCAATGCGACCTACCATTAGGGGACAAGTCATCTGACAACTACAGGAAAATCTACATTGCTTCTTTTAACATACAATTTAAGTAGCGGCCTCCCACAAAATAATCACCTGATCAGATTTATATATTAAGTTATGCTTAATATATTATTATACATTAAATATATGATTTAATAAGTTACGCAGGGCTTTTTTTCTTAGTAGTGAAATTTAGTATCTATTACCTGACATATAATAGCCAGGCTGAATGGAGACACTACCATGTCCCTGCTCATCAGTGTGTATTAAAAGACTTCAAAGTCACTTACATAAAAATAGCATTTTACCATTCAACAATCACAAAAAATTAGGAAAGGAAAACTCATTATCCTACTTCTGAACAGAGGATGCCAAGGAAGGGAAAGGCCATACAGTAGACGAAAGAACCAGAATATAAAGAAACTGCAAAAAACGGCTCGTATTCATTTTGCCACTAAAAGAGAATTAAAGATGTCTATCAAACAATAAATTGAACTTCATTTTTCAATTATGCATGCAGATCACCATAAGACACACCCAAAATAATAAACCTGACATGCATTTTGTACTAGACTAATTTTAAATGATTTCTAGTTTTGGTCATCCTCCTCCTCCTTTGCTCAAAGAAGTACTAAAATCATCCTAGGAAAGAATATGAAGAGAAAAGGTAAAGTATAACCTCAGCTAATTAACGTACTTAGATAACTGAAAGATTTGCTATGTTAAGTGCTCAGGAAAAAGATTTTTGATCCATAAGAAAATAATACCGTATCAGAGACTGGTTTTCCACAAACAACATGAAAACTGGGCAGGGTGGGGGCGGAGGGTGCTGGGGGGAAAAGGTTTAATTTTAAAAATCACACAAAATAATTTCATGAATATTATTAGTAACAATACATGTGCACACACGTATATATATGTGGGCATGTATGTACATGTATATAATTTAATCTGAGATTAGTGTACAATCTTCATCCCTATTTTACAAGAAAGTGTACCTTTACCCAAACACAGATTTATTGTTGAAGAAATATATTGGCTGTGTTAAATTGAAAGATAGTTCTCATAATATCCACCATTAGTCTTAAGAGTTCACACCTCTTTTACCTTCTCTCAGGCAGCATTTCAAAGACCTAAAGATATTTATATCATTTTTAGTCTTTTCTAGCCTAAAAAGCTTCAGTCTCCAAAAATTTGAGATAATCTGTATACCCTGTACTCTCTCCAGGGTAAACCCCTTGAATACTTGCTAACTAGACAAGGGCATTTTTAAACTGCAGCGCTCACAAATAAAGACCCTCACTCAAGAGAAAAACAATGTGGAGTTCACACAGTTGTGAACTGCACAGAGAAAGCTCTAACAATGACAACTACAGCTTGGCCCAATCTTCTGTATCTTCAAAACAGGAGAGATGTGATAGATTTCCCGAATAAGATCTCTGATTTACTATAGCACTGGTTCTCAATCACTTTTCAACAATGCAACACCTGAGGATAAGCAATATGACCAACTCTCATATGAAACAAGACTCATGAAAGGAACAGAAAGGGGGTGGCGTGTGTGAAAAAGCCGGTAACATGTCTGAATCTGATAAATCTAGATTTGAGAGTAACAATGTTTACTATACTAAAAGCCAAAATACAGATTAAATTCTAAAACAACATAAAAAATTGAAATGAGAACTTTATTAACATTCTAATAAGCTACCAGTATGGTTAGCCAGAAAGCCAATTAATGAGCTTTCCATTTTGCAAAGCTTTACTCCACGTTTAATACATAAAGCTGTATTTCACTCTCCTTCCCCAAATGATCACAAAAGGATTTTTTTATAAAGGGGGAAATGTAAATAAATTTAACCCTACAAAAGCCCAGAAAACATTTCTCCATCAAAATTCAAAGCGGAAAAGCCAAGTATGTTCTGTCACTTTCAAAAACATATATTAAGACATATAATATAAGACAGAATGGTAAAACAGTATCCCGAAAATTAATACAGGAGAATGTGCCAATCAGTAATATAAATTTGAGCATCAAGAATGGTATCAAAAAATCAGAGATGGTTTTGAGGGTCAGTTGGTGAATACGAAGGAAAATGATCCAGAAACAAAGCTAATAAAAACAAATTTAGAATTCATACATCTTGAAAAACATGCCCCTTTTAAGATATACAAATAAAAGAAACTAATTTTTAAAAAGTGAGTGGTGGTGGGGAGCATTCAACAATTCACAAATTTGGACCCACAGGCCAACATCTATTTCTGTGACGTGGATATGGAGACAAACTGATATAAAAGTATCAAAAGCTGTAATCTAATTAGACCACAGACAATATGCATCTGAAACTGAACGATGATCGCAGGTTCCCAAACAGCGATGCAATTAGTCCTTGGGGTAGGCTGGCAGGGGAGGTCCTAGAATGACCAGAATCCCAGAACGGTTACCTTCATCCCTGAGGAGCCTTCCGCCTTCAGCAGCATCCTCCAGGGAACATGCCAACATCAAATTTTTCTAAATGCATCCCAGTGTAAAAAAGGTTTGGAGACAAGGAATTAATAGTGATTTCCCATTAACAGAACAAATAGGTGACAAATTAACTGAGTCTTCAGTTTTAAATTTTCCTATCTATGAAAGTCTCTAGTTGATAAGAAAGTCTCTTAGTCTCTAGAAAATATCTCGTCTAGGCTGTTTTTAATCATCCAATTATTTTCTGCATTACACCAACCCTTCCAAGAACTTTATAATCTTGAGCCCTAGTCTAGAAAAAATGAAGATTCTCAGCAAGATATAATGGAAAAGTTTAAGATGGTACCTTAAGGGCCATCTTAATTTGGTAAATATATCCTGAGTATAAATCACCAGAAGTTTGTTTTAACTGTGATGAATTAGTCATTGACCCAGAGTAGTAGTAGTCATTTTGTCTGTGTTTAGCCTTGCTATTAGCAATACTTGATAATAAATCTTTCAAAGTCAATGCCTATTTTCACCTTTTTACAAATTCACCTAGAGGTGCAGTTAAACTGTACTCACCTGAATCTGAATAGGAAGATTATCTTTGACTGTATTTAACAGGGTCTCTGTGGGTTTGTCTTTGCACATTAAAACCAGCTCCAAGTCCATATCATCTTTGATCAGCAAGCCTTTTGCAACCAGGCCAATCCTCATTACACCACACAATGTCCGACCACCTTGATCCCTAAAAATAAAAGTCTGCATGATTACTTTCACAACCTACTTCCCAAACCATAACTTAATCATCACTTGGCTTCCTGAATATCCTTAAGAATTGATAAGTGAGTATGTAAATCCAGACATCCAAGTATCCACAAAATTAAGTCTCAGATTTGAGGCTTATAAAGTATCTATCTTCCCTCAAGGATTTAATGGGGAACATATTTCATACTACAGATCTTTTAATTCTTTACTGCACTTACATTGCTTAAGAAAACTCAAAAATACTGTATCCTCTTAAGTATTTTTTCAAATTGTTCTTTTTAAACTTCCTTCTGGCCAGGTGCAGTGGCTCATGCCTGTAATCCCAACACTTTGGGAAGTCAAGGCAGGAGGATCATTTGAGCCCAGCAGTTGAAGACCAGCCTGGGCAACATAGTAAGACCCTGTCACCACAAAAAATTCTTTAAAATTAGCCAAGTGTAGTGGCATGTACCTGTAGTCTCAGGCACTCAGGAAGCCAAGGAGAAAAGATTGTTTGGGCCCAGGAGGTCGGGGCTGCACTGAACCATGTTTGCACCACTGCACTCCAGCCTGAGTGACAGAATGAGACGCTGTCTCAAAAAATAAACTTCCTTCTGTTTTAGTAGTAATTAGGGAATTTGTGAGGGACATGAATACCATGGTATAATGAGAAAGAACATCAGCGTATAAATCTAAAATTTATATGGATTCTACTAGTGGTGCCTGCTGACTCAGTATCCACAACAGTAAAATGACTACTGGCTAGAGGAGCTTCAAGTTCCTCCCAGCTGTATCATTCTAAGGTTCGTCCCATTCTATATCAGCTTATGGGGAAAGCAGAACAATGTAGCATAGAGCTGAGGAAGGAAAGATAAACTGCCAGCATATGCATTCCAAATCCATGAGTAGCTAGAAGTGCAAACACTCAAAGAACATCAAGTCATGAATGGTGCATAAGAAAAATGCTCATCTATCCTTGGTTTTAATTCTAAAAGTTTCTTATTGGTTCATTTCCCTTAATCACAAGTGAAAATATTAGCTAAGCTTAGCAGTCTTTCAACAAATAAGCAAGTGTTTGAGTATGGCAAACACATTACAGGAGTTACAGTCTCTCCTGCTCCTGAGGCTTACTCTGTAGTTAAGCAACAAAAGCAGTAACAGTTTAAGCACCCTGCTCAAAAGGGGAAGAGAAAGTAACATCTGAGCACAAAGGGTGTCACATAATCTCATTTAAATCTCAGAACAAGCCTCCATTTGGAAGACAAGAAATGTGAACCTCAGTAAAGTTAATTGTTCAAGTTCACCAAGAAAGTAAAATGGCAAAGCCTAGATTCAAACCCAAGTTGTTTTGACCACAACATTCAGGTCCCTTACACTATATGATTGCTTCCCAAGTTCAGGAAAGGGAGAGGTCATGTTATAGATGTAAAGCAAGGCAAACAAAGTCTAACTTCAGCAGAATCTTGATCTGCCTAGATGGGAAATGGTCATTCAAGCTATAAGCAAAGAATCAGCAGAGCTGGGGAAGAATCAGCATAGTTGAGAATAAAATGGAAAGGGAGAAGGGAGGGAAACAAATTGTGGCAGGGGAAACTAGAAAGGAAATTATAAATAATACAGCCATGAGTTCAGTGCCTGGCACACTTATGAAGATTCAATAAACACTAAATCAATGAAAAACTATAAAGGTGGTACAAGTATAGAAATAAAAAACATTTTAAAGCAAGTGACCCAAGTGTAGGCAATTGTCTGATATTAACAATAGAGAATCAGTCATCTTTGATTCCTTCTTCCTCTGTATCCTTGTCCTCTCATTTCCAAACCTAATACTATAATGGTTTATAAATTCTCCCTCCATAATCATGATCAAACTATTGCTTGCAAACCAGTTTCTTCAGGCTTTTATTACCTCTAATGTAGACCACCTTAGTAACTTCCTTCTCACTAGCTTTTCTGACTGACCTCTGTCATCTCCAAAGTACTGTATACAGCCAACAGAATAATCTTCCAAAGGTGCTGATTGTATAACACTCTACCTACTATTTCCTCGATGTCCCACTGAACACCTGGACACTTACCATATTGGGAAGCAATTTAGAAAGTGGCTTCGCTTCCTGGTTCAAATCCTGGCTCTGCTACTTACTCTGTGACACTGGGCAAATTTCAAATAACTTGACTTCTTTTGAGCCTGCTTCCTCATTTGTAAAACAGGAATAATGCCTTTCTCACAGAGTCGTACTGAGAATACATTTAATACAAGTGATAAACTTTGGCCAGAGCCCAACAGATATTAATAGCTCAATAAACAAGTTATTATTCCTTAAACAGTTATTATACTTTCTCATACCTATATCGTTGCTGAAATTTACTTTTTTCTTTCACTTTCACCACCTGCCAAAGCCCTACCCATCCATCCGCTGAGCCTGTTCCAAGTGCTACCTCCTTGATAAAGCTTTTTCAGACCCCCAGAACCAGCACATCATCTCTCTCTGCTCTGTACTTTCACATTTTATTCACAGGACATTGATGCACAGATGCTAAGAAAACTGGATCTGGAGTCAGAGAAATCTGAATATGAATCCTGGCTCAACCACACGTATTTACTAAGTGGCCTTAAGCAAGTTAAAGTTTGTGAATGATTCACAGTCACTCTTTCTTATAAGCAAGTTTGGAGTACAGGAAATTTCACAAGTAAAACAGGAGTGAAGAAAGGGAGACAATAATAGAGACTAGTAGATTTGTTGTAAGATAACAGAAAAAATACTGTGGTACAATAGTTGGCACTCAATAAATAGTAGCTATTATTAGCTCAGTTATTAAATTCTAAATCATAATTATGATATACTTGGTCTTATCAGCCTACAGGTAGAAGACAGCACGATTGAGCAGAAAATGAATTCCTAATTCAAACAACCATGAATTTGAATTACAAAACTGGAACATGACAGTTATTGTAAAGCAAGCAACCCAATGTATTTGAATTTACTACATGTGAATTACTTAAAATTAAAAACAGAATTCAATATTCCTAATAATACAAATTGTGGGACTTTGTATAAGTTATTCGACTTTTGAATCAGTTTTTTAAAAGGTAAAGTTTTTTTGAATCAGTTTTTTAAAAGGTAAAGTATTAAGTTAAAATAAGAGAACGTAGGTAAAAGCTGCCTAACAGTGCCTGGCAATAGAAAACACTTAATTGCTTAATAAATACAAGCTACCCCCAACCCATTTCTGTGTCCTTCAGAGTGCTTAACACTCACCAGGCACACAACATATGTCCATTACCAGAACACAACTCTGCCTTTGGAAGACATGCCTGCCTCTGATGTAAGAAGAGAATCATTCTGGAAAAATAAAATTTTTTGTGAACAAGCAAGCACTCAGAGATTTCATCACCACCAGGCCTGCTTTATAAGAGCTTCTGAAAGAACCACTACAGATAGAGAGGAACAACCAGTATCAGCCTTTCTAAAAAATACCAAAATATAAAGAACATCTACATAATTAAGAAATTGCATCAACTAATGGACAAAACAGCCAGCTAACATTAAATGACAGTATCAAACTCACATATATTGTTATTAATTCTAAATTTAAATCGACTAAATCCCCCAATCCAAAGACACAGACAGGCAAAAAAAGCCAAGACCCATTGGTATGCTATATCCAGATCCATCTCACATGCAAGGATACACAAAGACTCAAAACAAAGGGATGGAGAAAAATTTACCAACCAAATGGAGAGCAAAAATAAATAAATAGAAAGCAGGAGTTGCAATTTTTGCTGATAAAATAGACTTCAAAGCAACAGAGATCAAGAGAGGCAAAGAAGGATATTACATAAAGATAAAAGGATCAATGTTAACAAGAAGAGCTAAAGATCCTAAACATATATGCACCCAATACAGAAATACCCAGATATATAAGACTTATAAAGAGACTTGGACTCCCACACAATGATAGTGGGAGACTTCAACATCAGTATTAGACAGATCAATGAGACAGAAAGTTAACATCAATATTCTGGACTTGAACTCAGATCCGGAACAAGTAGACTTAATTAACATTCATAGAACTCTCCACTTTAAATACACAAAATATACACTCTTATCAGTACTACATCACACGTATTTACAGGTTTAAATGAAATATTGGTTGGCTGCTTGTTAATTATTTTCTTCCCTCATTTTTTTTTTTTATGTCTCTATTATTAAACACAATTACAGGCATACCCATTTTTAGACTGCATTCTACCCCGGGCAATAAAGCAACACCCCTGTTCTCTCTCCCTCTTCCTCTTTCTCTTTCTTCCTTTCCTTTATTCTTTTTTTTCTTATTCTTTTTCTTTCTTTCTCTAAAAAAAAAAAAAAAAAGAAGAGAATCATTCTGTACTCCTTGAGTTCCACCATATGGGAAGGATCATAGGCAAGGACTCAACCAGAAAGTCTTCCATAAAATGGAAAGACTATATACAGACAACCAAGAGCATCCACACCAGAACCATATTTAAAAATCCAGGCCCGGCATGGTGGCTCATGTCTGTAATCCCAGCACTTTGGGAGGCCAAGGCAGGAGGACTGCTTGAGGCCAGGAGTTTGATACCAGACTGGGCAATGTGGCAAGACTCTGTCTCTCAAAAAAAAATTGTTTTTAATTACCCAGGCATGGTGGCACACACCTATAGTCCTAGTTATTCAGGAGGTTAATGTAGCCCAGGATCACTGGAGCCCAGGAGTTCAAGGCTACAATAAGCTATGATCACACCACTACACTCCAGCCTGGGCAACACAGCACCCTTTCTCTAAAAAAAAAATAAAAATAAAAATAAAACTACAAATGAAAGTATGGAGCATATTATCCTGTAAAAGTCTTTAAATCACAGACCTCATCCAGTTAAGCAAGTCTATAGGAGTGCTTTCCAAAACATTCCAGGCTTGAGAATAAACAAAATTAGAAATTGTATTAAAAAGAAAATTTCACTGAAATATATACTTAAAACAAAAATAGCAAATCTTATGTTATATATTTTACTATAATAAAAAAAGCTTTTAACATGACATAAACAAGTAACAAAGTGCAATTTAAATCTGGAATACATGACTAAGTTGCTGAAGAGCTGAGGTACAAACAGAACTAAATAATTAGATAATATTACTAATGAACATGAACTCCAAATCTAACAGTAACATTTGTACAGACATCATATACGACAACAATTACATGTCCAAGAACCTTCAAACTGACAAGACTATGACCAGACACAATGTATAAACTGCCTGTAAATAGCTAAAAAAAAAAAAAATTACACTCTTCAGCAATAAAACTGATACACTGATTATCTTTCATCTGAAGATAAAAAAGTTTATACTATCTTTCAGTGAAGAAAATCCATTTATCAACACTTTCCTACTGTTATTTATCTACTTACCACATTAATTTAAAAGTTAAAAGCTGAAGAAAAAATTCTGTAACCTCTTCCATTTACAAATTGCAGCCAAAGTAATGTTTTAAAATTTATTAATACAGTATAGTCAAACGAGCTCCATCTTTCAAAGTTAGACACTTACTCCAATCACAGTGACAAATGCTCAAAACAATAACTTTAAGCTTAACCTTGCATAAAAAGGTTAGTGATCTAACTCCAAGTACCACTTCAGTTTCACTAGCCTACTATTGTCACAGCACTCAGAATATTCTACTATAATTGTTAAAGGGTATGGTTCCCATTAGACCTTTATCCAATCCACAAATATAAAATGAGCAATTACAATATGCAGGACACTGCTAAATTCCCGGGAATCAATGAAAGTAGTACAGTCAAAAATACCATACGAGGATTTTTAAATGCCTTACAAAAATGATATTTTATGATCTCCCCAGAGACCAAAACACTATTTATTTCAAAATTTAAGAGGGTGAATCAACAAAGTAAAAAGATCATTAGAGGACTTGGTGTTCTCTCAAAAGGGATCCTAAAAAGGTCCATTTTCTTTCTCTGGCTCTAATCTTTACTCTTTTCAAGGTTTCCTTTCAAATTTAACTCAGAAAATCTCCACATAACATTTACTTCCTTAGATATAGCCTCATATATGCATGAGACAAAATCCAAAAAACACTGTAAAACAAACTCAATCCAGCAGGACCTTCGAACTTTGCTGTGCACATAGCACAACGTCCCAGAGGTCAGTCCACACTCACTTGGAATAGTTTTCTCCGGCCTCATCTTTCTTCACTTCTGTCTCACCCTCTGTTTTTGTGCCTTTATTTGTTTCATCCAACCAATCCGAGACATGTTTAAGAGCACATTCAACAGTAGATACCATATTCTGAACAGCTTCAAGTTCCTCCGGAGATGGATAGATTGTTGAATGTTTCACCATAACATGGCGATCATCATTAGCAAAAGATCGAATCGATCTCTGTTAGAAGGAGAATGAAAACAATTACTTCAACACAAGAAATACCACCTAAAAAGGATGATATACAAATATATCTTTAGCCAACCCACAGCACTGATTGTCTACTGTGAAACAGTTAATACTGAAACAAGAAAAAACGCTCAAGAGTAGGATGTAAAACCCCATTCTGTTGAACTCTTCACCAGAAAATAAGAGATCTTTCATTCATGTTTTGGTAAGGTTCAATTTGGTCACTCTTGGCATTATTTATAATGTTATATCTTGGCCAGGCACGGTAGCACATGCCTGTAATTCCAGCACTTTGGGAGGCTGAGGTGGGCAGATCACTTGAGGTCAGGAGTTTGAGACCAGCCTGGATGACATGGTGAAACCCCATCTCTACCAAAAATGCAAAAATTAGCCAGGTGTCGTGGCATGCACCTGTAGTCCCAGCAACTGAGAAGGCTGAGGCAGCAGAATCGCTTGAACCCAGAAGACAGAGGTGGCAGTGAGCCGAGATCACACCACTGCATCCCAGCCTGGGTGACACAATGGACTCCGTCTCTAAATAAACAAATGAATACAGTTATCTTTTAGCTGAATCTACACATTCTGAATACTACTTCAAAAAATGTCATCCACATCATGCATCATCTGCAAGAATCAAATACTTCTTAGCTTCCAGAGAGTCCCAGAAATGCAGGATTGTGAGTGACTCATAAACTGCCAAAGACTTCTAACCTTTCCAAACTGCCCAAGATTTCTAACCTTAAAAAACTGAGATTTTAGGGCTGGGCATGGTGGCTCATGCTTACAATCCCAGCACTTTGGGAAGCTGAGGTGGGAGGATTGCTGGGGGCCAGAAGTTGGGAGACCAGCCTGGGTAATACAGCAAGATCCAATCTCTCCAAAAAAAAATTAGCTGGGCATGGTAGCGGGCACCTATAGTCTTAGCTACTCAAGAGGCTGATGCAGGAGGATCCTTAGAGCCCAGGAGTTCAAGGTTAAGTGAGCTACCATTGTGTCACTGCACTCCAACCTGGGCAACAGAGGTCTCTAATTAAATTTTAGAATTTGAGACTTCATAATACAGAATAATACAAAATAAAAAGTTATCTGTGAACACCATAAGAAAACTATTAAAAACATTGGAGTAGTGTTAACTATTTGACATTCAAACCTTTGGTGCAAGGCTTTAATTTTTTAAATAGATTACTAGGAGACATTCCAAATGCGGAGTGGGAAAAATTCACACTGCAAAATGAATCAAGCTAATTGACAAATATGTTCTCAATCAAAATCTCCTCAGGGTTAATTTACTTAAATCTCAACAAAAATCATTTTAAAGCTCATTTGGGAAAAAAAAAATCAATGAGTGTATCAAGAAATACTCTATAAAGATGGATGGGTGGTACCATTAACTAAAATGAAATATCGACAGTAGAACAGACCAGCACCCAGAAAATGAATGAATTTCATGAAAATTTAACAGAGTAGATCCTATACACTCATGAGTCACACATGAGTCATGATCCTATACACTCAGGAGTCCAAAAATCTTTAAATTTTTCCAAATTTACAAATATCACAAGGACACTTGTACCAGTACACAGCAAAATGAATAAGAATAACTTAGTGAGTTTTCCATAAAGCCTAAAATATTCCATTTAAAAACTGGTTATACTGTCTTTACTTACATGAAATTATGAGTTAGTACATGGTAAATATTTTGTTTTGAAGTCCATCGCAAACTAAAACATTCTCAATTCTTTATGAACAGTCTTGCCTCTTTTTCTTGTTTGAATATCTATGTTTAAAAATCATATTTTTTTGGATAACAGTAAATTAACACTATAGTGTCACTGTCCTCTATAAAGCAAAGAAAACTTTAGTTGAAAAGGTAATGATGTGAAAAACTCAATCATTATATAAATATAGGCTAAAATAAATTCTAAAACCTTCTTTTTCTAAATAAAAATCACCTGTTTAGATTTCTTTCTTGCTCAACATCCACAACCAGTTTTCCAACTGGAGCAGTTTGCCATAAAGAAACAAATTTTTTTAAACACTTCGTGAGATTTGTTCATATATCCCAAAATAAGTATTAGAAAACAAAAGAGCTGAACAGTTGGAGATGCTAGGTTGTTTGCTAGGCTTATGTACTTGCTAAATTACCCAGTCCTGCACACTGACCACACCTGAGCAAAACTACATATTACTACAGTACATAAACATTTGTCATTTATCGCACAAATAATACAGACTGCCAACGTTAAATTCAAAAATGTTACATCTAATATTCTACTGGATGTGACAGGATAAGCATTATGAAACAACAGTGACAGGAAAAATTGAAGAAATAGGTATAACCAAAAATGGAGAGAAATCTTATTTACTCAAATAAGCTCCAAACAGATTTTCTTTAAGTATTAAAAAAACAAATCGGACTCAGTGCTCACGCCTGTAATGCCAGCACTTTGCGAGGCTGAGGCTGAGGCTGAGGCTGGCGGATCATCAGAGGTCAAGCAGTTTAAGACCAGCCTGGCCAACAAGGTGAAATCCCGTCTCTCCTAAAAATACAAAAATTAGAAGAGTGTGGTGGTGCATGCCTATAGTCCCAGCTACTTGGGATGCTGAGGTAGGAGAATCACTTGAACCCAGGAGGTGGAGGTTGCAGTGAACCATGATAGTGACACTGCACTCCAGCCTGGGCAACAGAGCAAGACTGTTTCAAAAAAAAAAGTCCAGGCACAGTGGCTCACACCTGTAATCCCAATACTTTGGGAGGCCCAGGTGGGCGGATCACAAGGTCAGGAATTCAAGATGACCAGCCTGACTAACATAGTGAAATCCTGTCTCTACTAAAAATACAAAAAAATTAGCAGGGTGTGGTGGCACATGCCTGTAATCCCAGCTATGAAGCAGGTTCAGGCAGGAGAACTGCTTGAACCCAGAAGGCAGAGGTTACAGTGAGTCAAGACAGCGCCACTACACTCTAGCCGGAGCGACAGAGCAAGACTCCATCTCAAATAAATAAATAAATAAATAATCAGAAGAACTAGGCAGAAAGAGAAAATTCTCATTGCAATTGAAGATCTAAAGAGCAAGTAACAAGAGAAACTGGAAAATACTCATCAATTAAATTATATTAAAGCACAGAATTTATACACCAGAAAATCTAAGCTGAATTTTAAAAGAATAAACTAAGGAAGACATCTTCATCTACTTTGATAAATAATAAAGCATTTCTTTTAGTCATAAGAATATCAAGACTATAAAAAATGAGCACAATCAGAGGCAAATAATTCACATGGTAAGATACAAAAGAATCAGTGTGGTTTTTTCACATTTCACCACATAACTAAAATGACAGGGAAAATCCCAAGTTAACATCTGTTCCTACCATCTAGATCTAAAATATTAGAATTTCTTCTCTAAGGAGCTAGCTGATTAAGTTTATAATCCTTGGCACAAATATTTTAAAAGCAAGTAACATTTAAGGAAGCACCACCAGGCTGGGCACAGTGCCTTATGCCTATAATCCCAGCACTCTGAGAGGCTAAGGCAGCGGCAGGATTGCTTGAGCCCAGGAGTTCCAGATCAGCCTGGGCAACAAAGCAAAACCCTATCTCTACAAAAATTCAAAAATTTGACAGATGTGGTGGCATGCGCCTACAGGCCCAGCTACTTGGGAGGTTCAAACAGGAAGATCCTTTGAGCCCAGGAATTGGAGTTTGCAATGACCTATGACCATGTCACTGCACTCCAGCCTGGGTGGCAGAGAAGACCCTGTCTCAAAAAAAAAAAAAAGAAAGAAAAAATCAAAACACATCACCACCATCAGACTTGCTAAACAATATATTCCAAACATACTGGGCTTTTTCTCTCATTTGTAATGTGTTTTTAAAACCTTGGCCAGCACAGTGGCTCATGCCTATAATCCCAGCAATTTGAGAGGCTGAGGCAGGTACATCACTTGAGGTCAGGAGATGGAGACAGCCTGACCAACACGGCAAAACCCTGTCTCTACTAAAAATACAAAAGAATGAACCAGGCATGATGGTGGGCACCTGTTATCCCAGCTACTCGGGAGGCGGAGGCAGGGAGACTCGCTTGCAGTGAGGCAAGGTGGCAATAAGCTGAGATCATGCCATTGCACTCCAGCCTGGGTGACAGGGCAAGACTTTGTCTTAAAAAAAAAAAAAGAAACCTTTTATTGCTTATACTTAGGAGAAAACTTCACACAACACCCTCCAGAACTAATAATACTAAGAGGGAAAAAAAATCCGCACATTTTACCAATTAAAAGCCTAGGCACCAGAGATTATGACCTCATCTAACATCACAAATTCTATTTAAGTCTGAACTCTTCACAAAAAACGAGGTTTCTTTGATTCTCATTTCAGTGTCCCTACTATACTCAGCACTTGACCCTATTATTTGAAAAATATGTGAAAGAGGTGACTTTTTCAGTTAAACATTTACACATTTTATAAACTTCTATATCATTCCTATCACTAATTAAAGGACTGATTCAGAATTAATTTCCACAAGAAAAAAAACTGAACTTAAAGTAAAAAACCTAGGTATTTGTATCAGTTTGCTAATGCCAGTTTTATTAGAAAATATTATTTATGAGCATTCCCTCCTTTGTTTTAATAATTCATGGCCTACAGGCTCATGGGGCCCTACCTTGTGGTTTATAGGGCTTATAATAAATCTGAATTCAGTCGCTTTGCTTAAATAGTAAGAGTGTCATCTTTATCTGATACACTAAAGCAAAAAATTTACACCATTGTTTTTCATTTGCCCTCACTGTTAACATTTCCAATTTTAAATTACTGGAGTCTTTTGTAAATAAATTATGAAAATGTCCACAATAACCTACCATGGTTTTCTATAGTATTTCAGCTTCTTTTTCCGATCCTTTCCCCTCTTTCTTGTCGTCTTCACTAGACACTGTTTCGTGTAACAATACCTCCTCATAAGCCTGAGTCCCCTGACAGCTAAGTGTCAATATAGCAAATATGTTTGAAGACTTGTTCTCTGGAACACACCTGCAAGAGAAGAGGAAAACAACTTCAAAAATGCTTATTTACTATTAGCTTCCAATCTGAGTGTGTAGCCCATAAACATATCACTAATTAAAAACTTAAATAAACTCAAAGAGGAAAATTCCCTCAGTTCAAACAAAAATCTAACATATTCCTTTGAAGGCCTGGGCCCAGGAGCCTAGGAGATATGGCCAGAAAAGTAAGCCTCCTGGTAGCTACAATGTGGCAGCTGGCTGACTGGCACTCAATAAGATAAATACATTTGCAAAGAGACTCAGTCAAGAAGCATCACCTGAAAGTAGTATTACTAGCGGCTAAATGTTGCAATTAATCATCAGGTTTTCAACTAGAAATTGGCATTAGACCCATCTGAAAATTTAGGAAAGACACCTGAAAATATAACAATATCAATGATTGTTCCATGATGCTTTTACATTTGATACTGCCATTAAAAAGTACATGCTGGCACAATGTTTGTTCTTTAATTTTTTTTTTTTTTTGGCCTAAAATTCAGAATTTGGGGGGGGGGGGGCTTTATTCCTTAACTCCCAAAAGACCCTATTTATCCCTGTGCCTGTACGCACTGCTACGCCAGACTTCTGAATATTCACTAGATCCTGACTTCATTACCCCTAGATGTCCCTCACTAGAATTCCACAGTATATTTCTATCCAGAGGCCTAATCATTGTTACCTATTTTGTTCCACCTTTATGAGATTTTATTCCAGAGTAAAAGTAAACTTTTCTGAGCATTGATTAAATACTTAGAAACCCAGCTACAAGAAAAAGAGAAAAAAAATTTTTTTTTAAAAGAGCTAACATCAAAATACAGCACACACTTTATGTGACTACAAGAGGACATAATTTACATAGTATGTATCGTATAAACTCACAAAGAAAATAACTTTCTCTTCATCTAAATATCTTTCCTTTAAATCAAATTTCCTTTAATAAGGAAACACCCTCGCTATTGTCAATAACAGTTTCTTAATATTATCAGTTATGCCAAGTAAGGTGACTCATGCTTGTAATCCCAGTGCTTTGGGAGGCCAAGACAGGATGATGGCTTAAAGCCAGAAGTTTGAGACAAGACTAGGCAACAAAGCAAGACCTATCTCTTTAAAAATACTACTACTACTACTACTATTTAATAGAACAGGTTCTAATAAATTTGACTTACTTTATTATTACTTGTATCACATTAAGGAAGAAATGCACAGTGCTACAATTCATGGGATCTTTTTGGGCAACCAAAAAACAGGGATTCAAGTATGCTCCCACAGCAAGAGATATCTCAAAAATGCTCTGGTCACTAAAATTATACCTTCCATATAAAGACCTTACTATATCACTAAAGTCTTCAGCATCTCCCATTCCCAACCCTACTCCATTCTAAGGGACTCAACTATTTACTACTTAGCTGTGAATGCAGCAGCCAAAAAGTATTGCTATGTGTTCAGTCAATAACTGAAACAAAGTATACAAGCTTTCTTTGTATAAGTGAAGCCAGTTCATGACCAGCCTGGCCAATATGGTGAAAGCCTGTCTCTACTAAAAATAAAAAACTTAGCAGGATGTGGTGGCGGGTCCCTGTAATCCCGGCTACTTGGGAGGCTGAGGCAGGAGAATCGCTTGAACCCGGGAGGTGGAGGTTACGGGGAGCCGAGATCACTGGAGTGCCACTGCACTCCAGCCTGGGTGACAAAGCGAGACTCTGTCTTAAAAAAAAAAAAAAAAAAAAAAAAAAGTGGAGCCAGCCAGGCACGGTGGCTCATGCCTGTAATCCCAGCACTTTGAAAGCTGCGGCTAGGAGGATCACTGGAGCCTAGGAGTTGAAGACAAGCCTGGGCAACATAGTGAAGCTCCATCTCTACCAAAATAAATTAACAACGAATTAGATGGGCATAGTGGCACATGCCTGTAGTGCCAGCTGCTCAGGAGGCTGAGGTGGGAGGATCACTTGAACCTAGTAGGGTGAGGCTTCAGTAAACCATGAACAACACACCACTGCACTCCAGCCTGAGCAAGAGAGCAAGACCCTGTCTTAAAACAATTGAATAGACCGAAGGCAGAAAAAGAAGGAACAATACTATGAGACAGCTTCAGATGTCGTGAGGAAATCATGGATCACCAATATAAAAAGTACAGCACTCCGCAGTCATTTAGCATGGAGGGTAACTACCCTACCATCAAGAACCTCTGGGAACTTCAGAGTATGATAGCATAGTGTAATAACTCATGAAAAACAACAACTGTATCTCTCTTCACTATATATTCTATTGGCGTTAAAAAAACAAACTTAAAAATCATCTGACCAACTCTACCCTCATTTTACAAATGAAACAGAATCAAATATTTAAGGTTATATAGCAAAGTAGGGACAAGATATGACTTGGAACCTAAATTATAGACCAGTGCTTTTTCCTATTTATCAATCTGATTGAGAAAAAAGCCTAATTTATAATATATCTGGTTTACTCTAAACAGATATGGAGAAACTAAAATCTTTTTTGAGAGTTTTTCTTTTTTAAAAAGAAAAAAAAAGGTGAACAGATAAAATTCTGGTCTTAAAATTTTTTAAAAAACTAACTTTGTTAGTTAATAGCTATGTGACTTTAGAAGCTATGTGACTCAGAGAGTCACTTAATTTCTTTGGGTCTCTGTTTCCTTTATTTATAAAATGAGAAATAATTCCATTATTAATTAGTGGAATTACATGTATGGAGCTCAGACTTTGTACTTGGCTCTGTTCTGTTTCATATATTAACTCAGCCCTCCTAACAATCCCAATTACTGTCTCCAATGAACACATAAGGAAACCAAAGCATAAACAGATAACATAACGTAAATAAAACCACAAACAGTAGAGTCAAGATTCATATCTAGACAATCCTCTTTAATATTGTTTTAGCTTTAAAGGACTTACATTTACTTTAGGGGACAAACTTCAGCTATTGCACAAAAAAAAAAAAAAAAAAAAAGTCTATGTGAATTACTAGGACCACAGAACACCCAGGCTTTGGAGTCAAGTACCAGCTTTCCCACTTCCCTTATCTGAGCCACAGTTTTCTCACCCATGCAATGGAGTGATTAGTATCTACTTCAAACTAAATAGACATGTTATACAAAAATACCTAATAGTATCTTACCACTCAATAAATGGCTTCAAGGGAAAAAAAACACACCTCAAATTTCCTAATGTCAGTAGAAACAATTTGTTTATACATGAGATATATGTACGTTTCTCTGAAAAAGTGAGATTAGAAAAATATTAACTATGCTCTCCTTCATAAGAAAATATTAACTATGCACTTCCTTCCTTATGTAGAAGGTAGTATTATATATAAAGGAATGTGTGTCACTTTTTAATTCAGCACTTTTTTTCAATTAATGGATATTATTGTCTAGAGCAGCTTTAGGTTTACAGAAAGGTTGAGTGGAAAGTGGAAAGAACTCCCATATACCTCTTCTCCCCAGCACCCACCACACATATCTTCTCCTATTATTGACATATTGCCTTAGTGTGGCATATTTGTTGCCACTGATAAACCAATGATGATACATTATTATTAAAGTTCATCGTTCACATTAGGGTTCACTCTTTGTACTGTACATTTTACAGACTTTTACAAATGACATGTATTCACCATTACAGTATCATACAAAACAGTTTAATGGCCCTAGGAATGCCCTGTGCTATTTGACCTATTTGACCCTCCTACCTTCCCTACCTTTGGTAACCACTAATTTTTTTCTCAGTCTATAATTTTGCCTTTTTCAGGAATGTCATAGTTAGAATTATATATCATATGCAGCCTTTTGAGACTAGTTTCACTTAGCAATATGCATTTAAGGTTTCTCCATCTTTTCACAGCTTGATAGTTCTTTTTTTTTTTTCTTTTTTTGAGACAAAGTCTTGCTGTCACCAGGCTGGAACGCAGTGCGCAATCTCGGCTTACTGCAACCTCCACCTCCCGAGTTCAAGCGATTCTTCTGCCTCAGCCTCCCGAGTAGCTGGGACTACAGGCACGTGGCACCACGCCCAGCTAATTTTTGTATTTTTAGTAGAGATGGGGTTTCACCACATTGGTCAGGATGGTCTGGATCTCCTGACCTCATGATCCACCCGCCTCGGCCTCCCAAAGTGCTGGGATTACAGGCGTGAGACACCTCACCTGGCCGACAGCTCATTTCTTTTTATTGCTGAACAATATTCTATTGTATGGATATATCATAATTTATCCATTCACCTACTGAAGGATATCTTGATACCAAATTTTGGCAATTATGAATAAATTCTTTTTTTTCCCCATTTATTTATTTTATTGCATTTTAGGTTTTGGGGTACATGTGAAGAACATGCAATGAATAAATTCTTAAAAGCATTCATGTGCAGGTTTCTGTGTAGACATAAGTTTTCCAAGTTTTTGGGTAAATCTCTAACAACTTTGCTAGCTATATTCAAACTATGAAACTTAGGTAAATATTTAGGTATTTTTTTCCTCCTGAAATGCAATGAAGAGAATGTAAAAATACTTTTTTTTTTTTTTTTTTGAGACAGTCTCTCTCTGTGGCCAGGTGCCAGGCTGGAGTGCAGTGGCACAACCTCAGCTCACTGCAACCTCCGCCTCCCAGGTTCAAGCAATTCTCCTGTCTCTGCCTCCTGAATAGCTGGGACTACAGGCGTGCACCACCACGCCCAGCTAATTTTTGTATTTTAGTAGAGACAGGGTTTCACCGTGTTGGCCAGGATGGCCTCGATCTCTTGACCTTGTGATCCGCCTGCCTCAGCCTCCCAAAGTGCCGGGATTACAGGCATGAGCCACCTCACCCAGCAATACTTTATTTAAAAATCCCAAGTAATGTTTTGCAAAGTTTGTCATAGAATCCAGTAAATTTACTCTCACAAAAGTAACTGAATAGAAAACCTTCAATTTTGTTAAACTAATATAGGCCACCTCACTAAAACAAGCTATGTCAAAATAAATAGGTTTTATTTCGTTATGA